TTAAGAAAAGGCTCCTCGCCGAGAGGAGGTGGTCAGATACTGGAACAGGCTCCCCAGCAAAGTGATCATAGCACTGAGTCAGCCAGAGTCTGTCAGAGACACAGAATCACAGAATGTCTTGTGTTGGAAGGGACCTGAAAGACCACCCAATTCCACCACCGGCTCTCCATTACCACAGTCAGGATTGTCATCCACTGGATCAGGCTGTCCAGGGCTCCATCCAATCTGGCCTTGAATGTGTCCGGGAACAACAGTATCTACAACTTTGCTGAGCTGTCCGTTCCAGATCTTTACTACCCTCTGAGTAAATATTTCTTCCTAACATCTAACCTAAAACTTCCCTCTTTTAGTTTAAAGCCATTCCTATTTGTTCTCTAATTAGCAAACCATATGAAAAATAGGTCTTCTTCCTGCTTATCATCCCCTTTAAGTACTGGAAGGCCATAGTAAGATCTATCTGGAGCTTTCTCCAAGCTAAGCTAGCCCAACTCTAACCTTTTTTTTGAAGAGGTGCTTCAGCTCTCTCATATCTATCACCCTCCTCTGGACCTCCTCCACAGCTCCCCATCCTTCTTGTGCTGATGACCCTGGGCCTCAAGAGGGCAGATTAGAGGGAAACAATCTCCCTTGCCCTGCTGGCCACCCTACTTTTGGTGCAACCCAGATAGATACAGTTGGCCTTCCAAGCTGCAAGTGCATGCTGCTGGTTCATGTCCAGCTTTTTGCCTACCAGGACCCTCAAGTCCTTTTCCACAGGGCTGCTTTCAGTGAGTTCTGCAGGTCTGTATACATATTTGTGATTGTCATGACCCAAGTGTAACACCTTGCACTTGCCTGTGGTGAGCGTCATTTGTTTCTTATATATTCCCTTTCCAAGTCTGTTCAGGTCCTTCTGAATAGCATACTATCCTTCTGTTGGATCAACTACACCACTTAGTATCATCAGCAAACTTACTGAGGGTACACTCCACCCCACTGTGTAGGTAATCGATAAAGATGTTGAAGAGCACTGGTCCCAGGACTTAGTCCTGGGGGATACCACTAGTGACCAGCTTCCACCTGGACATAAATCTGTTGACTACAGCACTCTGGCTGTGATATTCCAACCAGTTCTTTATCCACTTAATAGTCCTGCCTTTAAATACATCTCTCTCCTATTTAGTGATAAAGATGTGGTGTGGGACTGTGTCAGAGGCCTTGCACAGGTCCTGATAGACAACATGAGTTGCCCTTCCTTTGCGTACCGGTGCTGTCACTCCACCATGAAAGACCACCAGACTGATCAGACTCAATCTACCTTTTGTGAAGCTGTGCAGTCCATCTTGGATCATCCCTCATCTCACATGTGCTTTGGTAGAGCTCATTAGATCTGCTCCAGTGATCTTCCCAGGCACATAACAGAAATCCTTTTGCAGCCCTGATTTTCTAGTTTGGTCCAGAGTTAGTAGTCATTGCTATCGACTGTGGTACTGTGGCAGATGAGTATATAGATAGGTTAATAGCAGTTGAGTTTTTCCTTTCCTTCACGGAAAGAAAAATTTTTTCCACCCGTTACAGATACTGTAGTGTTATAGTTTAACTTTTCAATCTCTGCATGCATTGGAGTTTTACATTACACATCAGCTGTGCAGTTAGAATTTGTTTTCTGAGCCCAATGCATTGGTACGACTTTTGGTAGCTGAGGGATGGATTTTGTTGATGTCATGTGATGGATTTTTAATCTCTGAAAAGTGTGATGTGCACATGCATGAAAATGAAAAGTTTAGTGCCCATGAATTTGTTGGGAGTAAAACAATCCTGATCACCAGGATATGCTGGAAGCACCCATCTGGAAAGTAGTTGTGCAGAAAAGGACCTGGGAATCCTGATGGACACCAAGTTGCCCTTCCTGCTGAGAAAGCTAAAGGAATTCTTGGCTATATTAGGCAAAGTATTGCCAGCAGGTGATGAGAGGTGAACCCCTTCCTTGATCTGAGACTAGAGGTGTTCCCCAGGGGTCAGTGCTGGGTCCAGTCTTGTTCAATATCTTCATCGATTACTTGATGAGGGGATAGTGTCCACCTCAGCAAGTACACCAATTACACAAAGCTGGGAGGAGTGGCTGGCACGCCTGAAGGCTGTGCTCCTGTTCAGCAAGGCCTGGACAGACTGGTGAGTTCGGCAGCAAGAAACCGGATGAGGTTTAACAAAAGCAAGTGTAGAGTCCTGCAACTGGGAAGGAATGATCATGGGTATCAGTACAGATTGGGGCACAACCTGCTTTAGTGGAGCTCTGCGGAGAAGGACCTGGGGGATCCCGGTGGATGACAGGCTGGTGATGAGCCAGCAGTGTGCCCTGGTGGCCAAGAAAGCCGATGGGATCTTGGGCTGCATTAAAAAGAGTATAGCCAGCAGGTCAAGGGAGGTGATCCTTCTCCTGTACTCTGCCCTGGTCATGCCTCACTTGGATTATTGTGTCCAGTTCTGGGCTCCCCTATACAAAAAAGACAGGGGTCTCCTGGAGAGAGTCCAGCAGAGGGCCACAAAAATGATTGCAGGCCCTCCCCTGACATCTCCCCTGTGAGGAAAGGCTGAGCGAACTGGGGAAATGGCCATAGACTGGAACATAGCAAGTTCCGCACCAATATGCGAAGGAACTTCTTCACAGTCAGAGTGACAGAGCACTGGAACAGGCTGCCCAGGGAGGTTGTGGATTCCCCTCCTCTGTAGAAATTCAAGACCTGCTTAGATGCCTACCTATGCAGCCTGCTGTAGGGGGTCTGTTTTGGCGGGGGGTGGACTCAATGTTCTCTACAGGTCCCTTCCAGTCCCTGCAATTCTGGGATTCCTCTCTTCTCAGCACTTGCGAGGCTGCACCCAGTGCTGATCCGGCTCTGGGATCCCCAGTATAAGAGGGACATGGGCACAGTGTAGAGCGTCTAACAAAGAGCCATCAAGATGATGAAGGGTGCCTCTTTTATGAGGAGAGGCTGAGAGAGCTGGGACTGTTCAGCTTAGAGAAGAGAAGGTTTGGGGGGTCTCTAAATGCCTGAAAGGACAGTTCAAAGGTGATAGAGACCAGCTTTTGTCAGTGAAGGCTAGTGCCAGAACAAGAGGCAGCGGACACAAACTAGAATACCTCTGAACATCAGGAAGCAATTCTGTGCTGTGGAGATAATGGAGCATTGGCACAGGTTGCCTGGAGAGGATGAGAGGTCTCCTTCTTGGAGATCTTCAGAAGTTTCCTGGGCATGATTTTGGGAATCTGCTGTAGGTTTGGAGCAGATGGACTCAGAGCCCTGCTAACCTCAGCCAGTCTATAATTCTGTATGATGCATATGGTTGTACAGGAAGAATGAGGAGCTCCTGTGTCAAAATGCTGGGTCCATCCACACTGTGTTATTGACAAATACCTATTTTTAGAACTGATGTCTATTTGTTACTTGCACAGATGGGTGTCTCCCTGTCTCATCTGATTTGCTCAGATGAGTGATGGGCTTGGATGGGAGGGAGGTGTTGTGTAAAGAATCTTTCAGAAGTGGGATACATTAGTCTTTTCTCTCCTAGATGTATGTGTGTGGGTAACTTGTTACATGACAAAGTACGTAAGTGTATGCATGTGTTTAGGAGTTTAACTTTTGTATGTACTAGCATGCAATGGTATAGTATTGTCTAATTTTCTAAAATGATTAATTTCCAAAGTGGCAGATGTAAAACTTGCAGCCTTTTAAGACTTTGTTCTTCTATTTATGAAAAGATTAAGTGCAGAACAGTGCAGTTTTTGGCTGTGGAAACTAGCTTGGTCCAAACTTAAAGAGATTGCTCCTTGCATAATGATGCAACCAATTGCAAATAAGAATAATGATATTTATGATACCAAGACTAGTACAAAAGACAGCATATAAGCTTGTGTACTGAGTGTGCGAAGGTATACATGTTTGTACTATTAAATATTTTCTCTTATGAAATAATTAAATAGAATATCTGGGTACAAGTGCTAGTTATGTTGGACAGATGTATCTTACTTTATGAGAGAAATATGTAATATTTATGAGAGGAAAGATCATGAGTCTATTTCTGTCCTGTGTGTGAGCCTTGGATAAGGCTGTTTTTCTTGTGTCTCAGATTTGGGGAAAACAGTTTCTTGTTGTGAATTAAGCAAGACTTAGTAATAATGATATGTATATTTAGGTCGGATTGGTTATAGTAGGCAAAAGTTTAACTATTACAAGCTTAATATGGTCTGCATCTACCTCAACATGGTAGTTGTAATTATCTGTATATAGTATTTTGCATAATCTTGGTGTTTTAAATGAGATACATAATCGTGGCTCCAAGGAATAGTATTAATTACAATGTCACCTGATGAAAAAAAAAACAAAACAAAAAAACCAAAAAAAAAAAAAACAAAAAAAACAAAAAAACAACAAAAAAAAAAACCACCAAAAATAACAGTTTTGGCCTTAGAGAGAAATTAATTTCTACCAAATTAAAATGGTCACAGTCCTGGGTTCTCCAGAAGACCTTAATTAGATCATTAAATCCATTGTTTGGTTATGGTGTGAAGGAGTATTCCCTTTTAGCTTTGATTCTCCTCTTACCTGATACAAAAAAACTGCTGGATTATAATATAATCTTGCTGAAGGTCTCAAGGTTATATTGCTTAGATAGTAAAGGAGGGAATGCGATACAGCTGCAGAAGATAGTCTACTTCCTTTAAATAAATCTTGGTTATTCACCTGAGAACAGTTGAGATGCTTTGGATAAGACTGTACTAGCAGTTATCATCAGCACTTTCCTAGCTGTTATCGGCAAGAGTGGCCCTCCAGAGGATGCAGAGATAGGCCTTTTTTGATGATTATATTTTGCTGTTAATAAGGCATATCAAGTAGGATGGTCTTTACTCAGGTGTTTTTTAATAGGGAAAGAAGTAGAAGAGGAATGCAAATGTATATTTCTGTTCTTATGGTTCATCTTGATTGTATCTCTGGAGATCCTTTTCTCCTTCTGTCTCCTCACAGATATAGCTGCTTCCAGTATCATGGCCTCTGACCTGGAAAGCAGTCTCACTTCCATAGACTGGCTCCCACAGCTTACTTTAAGAGCTACTATTGAAAAATTAGGGGGTTCGTCACAAGCAGGACCTCCAGGGGCTGCCCGAAAGTGTCCTCCAGGCTCACCGACAGATCCCAATGCTACGCTCAGTAAGGATGAGGCTGCAGTGCATCAAGATGGCAAGCCACGTTACAGCTATGCCACTCTGATCACGTATGCAATCAACTCATCCCCTGCCAAGAAGATGACACTTAGTGAGATTTACCGTTGGATCTGTGACAACTTTCCCTACTACAAAAATGCTGGTATTGGTTGGAAGGTAAGGACTTAAATATCGAAAGTGCTCTTTCTATCTAATAAATGGACTTTATTTTCTTATTTTTGCTCACTGAGCAAAATGAAAATGTGAAAATAAGATGTCCAGAGAAGAAATGAACTGAGATGGAAGTCCCATTTTCTTTGAGATTTTTGTTGTATGTGTGTGGCAGCCCTGTAAGTAGGACCCTGGGAAAAAAAACAAAAAAAAAAAACAAAAAAAAACCAGCAAGACAAAAATCACTACCCACAAAACCCACATCACTACCAACCTCTGCATTACACTGATAGTGTTTTTGTAGTACCTACTATATATGTGTAGATGGTTTGGCTGCATGTTATCAGCCTGATGAATTCCTCTGATTTCCTCAGCTTCTGTTCTGCTCTACTGTGGGTATATGTAGTGCATTTGAGTATGCACTACCCTTCTGTTTTCTTTACCCATTCCTGAACATACACAGAAAGCTGTACATTTTTGTTATAGCACTTACCTTTGTCTCTCAATCTCTTTTCAGAACTCAATTCGTCATAATCTCTCTCTGAATAAGTGCTTTCGGAAAGTGCCTCGACCAAGGGACGATCCGGGGAAGGTAAGAAATCTGGATGCTCCTGGCCAAACCATTTAAAACTGCATGGAATGAGCAAGAATTGCCCTTTCTAACTGATTGGTGGAATTTGAAACCTGAAATGTAGGCAGAAAGGGAAGCAGTAGTAAATACAGCGGCTAGATTCCCTTAGCTTTCCCTTCTCTGACTGAAACAGATCTCTCTGTGTGAAATGTGTTTACATCATGTGTACATCATGTGATGTCTCCTGTCATCATGGTGGACCTCCTTTGGTTCCAATCTTATATGCTAATGTCTTTCTTGCACAGGAAAGACCCAAGTGGGCACAGTACTCAAAGTGGAGTCTCACGAGTATAGAAAAGGGAGTTCCTTGTAGTTCTTTTTGCCTAGTCTGAACACTGAGTTGGTCCAATAAAAATAAGATGCTGTGAGGAGACACTGGAGGGGAACTTACAGGCCCCGAAGTGTTGGTCCACCGTGGATCAAGACATCTTATGCTCTTGAAGTGATAGAAGTGGATAGCATCATTGTTCAACACAACACAATGCAATCTCTTCCAATTCTTGGTTGTCTGATATTCGGTGTGGTTCTGTTATTTAGTTGGTGCTGCATTATTTGACTCAGTAACCCACAGAAAGCTCACTCTTTGATTTAATAACACAGTCATTCATTCACCAGTGGGTCTTTTTTCCAGGGCTCTTATTGGACAATAGATACGTGTCCAGATATATCTCGCAAGAGGCGGCATCCTCCTGATGATGACGTGAGTGTTACTGTTTCCTGACAGCATGGAGCAGTAGTGCGAGTTCCATTCTTGTTCGAAGGAGTTCTTCCAGCACTCCTGGGGGAGCAGCATATATAGATGAGGAGGATTAATGTGTATGTTGTGCTCATTGGCCGTTGTTACTGCTTTTCAGTAGCAAAATTAACTATATTTGTAGTTCATTGTCTTGTCTCTTCAGTGACTAAGGCCTAGTCCTCCTGTTTTCTAAGCCATGAACTACAGTAGGGGAACTGGCTTCTGATCTGCAGTTTCACTTCTCCATCTGTTATTTCTTTTGCGTTCTTACTCTCTTCCCCATCCACAGATACCACAAGACTCCCCAGAGCAAGAGGCAAGTAAGAGCCCCCGAGGGGCTGTTCCAGTCAGCACAGAAGCCTCTTTGCCACCTGAGGCTACCCCTCAGCTGTCACTCCAGAGCACTGCCCCCATTGCCAACTACAGTCAGGTGAGCAGCGGAGAACAGAAACCTTAAGAAGTGTGAAAGAAAGAGAAGGAAAGAGCGAGGGGTGCTTGAATGGAAAAGTGGAGTGGTGAGAAAGGAGGGAATAGTGAAAAATGGTGAGGCAGAGGGGAAAAAATTAAAAAGGGAAGAAGTTAAAATTGATTAGACAGAAGATAGCGGAGGAAGTGATATTTAAGAAAGGGCTGAATAGGGATAAGGGTAAAGGCATAATGGTATTAGAGAGCTGAAGAATATGCTGGAGCCGATAAGCTGCAGGGTAAGGGTGAAGGTTAACTGTCCTCAAGGGAAATAGCTTTTGCAGAAGACCTGCTTACTGCAAGATGAGCAAAGTGATATGAGTTAGCAGTGTATGTTCTACCTGTATGTAGTTCCTGGGCCCTGTCAAAAGTTTAAAAATCTAGTGTAAAATAAAGGCCTAATTTCTGTCATCTGTGGTCCTTTTAGCAGTCTGCAGGGCCTGTGGATGTTGCTTCTACTGTAGCAGGGGGACAGGGCCGTGAAGGGGCCGATGTACCCCCCCCACTGTACAGTGCCAACCACGACTTCAAGTTCTCCTACTCTGAGATCAACTTTCAGGATCTTAGCTGGTCCTTCCGAAATCTCTACAAATCCATGCTGGAGAAATCATCTTCCTCTCAGCACGGTGAGTAATCATAAGGACCATGTGAAATAGGCAGATACCTGTTTACACAGTCTTGTCCACTCAGCTATCCTTGGTATGTCTCGGATCTTTCATCTTTTAGGAGCAGAGGCTTTTTGGTGTGCTGTAATTGGTTCTGCCAGAGGCAAATAAGAAATCTGCATGTCCTTTCTTTATTGCGCCTCACTAATTTGCTCAGAATGATAAGAATAATGATTTAAAAATACCGTATCCTAATACAAAAGCAAATATTTAAATGGTAGAAGCATAGAAAAATGAAGACCTTGAAGAATAGCTTGTCTGAGAAGTATTGACAATCTGTCGGGCTAGAAACTGTAAGAGGAGGAGGATTTTTTCATGTAGGCAGTGGGATTTCCCCAAAAGGAAAATGAGAAGTCATCATTGCGAAGATCCTTTAAAAGCAGAATTGTACAGAGTCTTGGAGAACTGAACTTTGAGGAGGAGAGGGAGCCTATAACTTCATTCGTAGCTGACATTTCTGTTACTGAGGAAGCAGCTACCGGGAGGCATAACTGCTGTAGGGATGAGATCTGTGTTTCCACAGAAAGCACTTCTGGAGAGTCTCCAATTTTTGTCTTCATCTTTAAATATTCTTCTAAATACTAGTCTGGTGTAGGAAGGAATATGTGATTAGATGAGACTTTCACCTTTGCTCTCAGCCAGGGTATAGTGCAGGCAGTTTGTTACTCTAAGAGAAGCCTCCTGATTTTGTAACTTCAGTGAAATAATAACAAGCTTTCATCAAGTGGCGCTTGATGTTACCAGTAGGAATCTGTTGTGTGAGGTGCTGTAGAATAAGAAGGTTACTCAAATGCAGAGAAGAACCTTGACTCACTCTGTGCCTCTGTCTCTAAAAATTAAGCAACGATCTGCTTTTCTACAGCTGTAAGAACGTCTAGGAAAACTTGCAGCTTTTGATGAAATTGTGTTGGTAACTTTGAGTCTGGATATTGGAGTCAGAATAATATTGACCCTTTTGCTCCATTGCAGTTAGTAGGTCTGAAGGTTGATTTTGGCTCTATTGAAAAACTTAGGCTTGCTTTTACAGAGGGTCAGATGATGAATGGTTAGCTGAGTTTACTGGCAAGTAATGCCTTTCACTGCTATTTTTCTTAGAATTTCCATAACATAAGGAGAAAATAAACCAGGGAAGCAGATGTAAGAGATATGCAGAGCTCCTGATATGGGGAAGAATGGAGAACATATGATGTTCTTGCATGTAGGGGATACCTGTAATGGAAGAGAATAGAGAAGAGAATAATAACACCTAAAAAGTCAGGAAGAATTAAAGTAATAAAGGAGCCCTGATATGTGCTCTGTGTATAGAAGCAGTAGGAAGCATGGCCACTAATGATCTGTGTGAGAAAAATTGTGAAGGTTTTGGATGAAACTGCTTGTAAGATAGACTATGAAGGGAGCTTTTGGGAACAACAAATCAGATTTATCAACCTCCATATTCTAAATGTTTTGTTGCTTAAGTGGTTTGCTTAGTGGTCATTTCCAGGAAAGCAACATGTGCATGAAATTTCCAGAAAGCATGCATTACTTGCTAGATATAGATGAAGTCCATGGAGGCATAGAAGTATTTAAACACTTAAATTAACACTAAGGATTTAAATTCTGCTGGGACTTTGTAAAGCCCTTTGTTGTTGATGGAACCTGGAACACATTAAGAGCTTAACTGTGCAGGTGCTAATTATTGGCAGCCTCTAGAGGGCACTTCAAAAGCTTCTTAAATAACACTGCTCATCCTCAGTGTGACATTAGGAATGGTTAATTTAAGTAGAGGTCTGATCCAGGCAGCTCTTAAAGTTTCCTCCTCTCTCTTTCATCCTACAGGTTTCTCTTCTCTCCTTGGTGACATGCAGCCCTCCAACCACAACTACTACATGTACCAGCAGCAACAGCAGGGCCCCTCAGCAGTGGGTGCTGCTCCACCCCTCCACACTCCAACTCCAGAGGGTTGCCCATCCCAAGGGGGAAAGCAGCAGGGTGGTGAAAGTTATGGCCCTCCACCAGTGATGTCCATGCACCCTCCCCAAATGCAGCATGGAGGCTACCACCAGCATCAGCATCACCCACACTCCCACCCACAGCAGCAGCCTCATCAGCACCAGCAGCAGCAGCAGTCACAGGCTTCAGTCAACAATGCTGGCTTTGGTGAGTCAGGGCTGATGGAAAGAACAGCTGGGAGAAATGGAGCAGTGGGGATCCTCAGACAGAAATTCCACAAGTGAGATTCCCCTAAGAATTGCCTATATAGTGAGCAGAAAAGGATGATAGCCAGTTATGGTTGAAATCTGTGAAGGAAATTGCCTTCTTATTAGGGATACAGTCATACTAAGTTGCAGATTGTGTTCAGGGATGCAGGAAAAGTTCAGGAGCTAAATGAAAAGGGAGGCACTACCCTTGATATTCCAAGGGCAAAAAGATTTCTATCTACTACAGAATTAATATCTTTGAAGTGGCCAGTTATCTTACATTAAGGGATGGAGGAAAAGGGTGTTCTGTTGGAATAACATTTTTTCCATTTCATTACAGCATTTCCCCCTGATTGGTGCTCCAGCATTGATTCCCTGAAGGAGAGCTTCAAGATGGTAAACCGGCTGAACTGGTCTAGCATTGAGCACTCCCAATTCTCAGGTTGGTATTGGCCTAGTGCTGAGGTCTAGTGACTCAGTGACTAGGGACTGTAGTATCTAGAATTTGGGAGTGCAGCTTTTTGCTTTTTTTTTTTTTTTTTTTTCCAACTAAACTTTGGCAAGTCTCATTTTTCTCATTGACTCAGCTGTTCCATGCAACCTACTTCATGGATCCTGTTAAAGACCCTAAAGCACTTGAACACTGTAGGGATTTGGGGCAAGAGGAATTAATTCATAAAAGTATGTCAGAAGGTGAATGAGAATTTTTCCCTCCTGCTTCTCCTTTTTTTACCCAAGTCAGTGAGACAATACCTTAAAAAAGAAGCTCGCCATTATTTCGGTGACTGATCATAAATAATGAAGTTGAATTTGTGGGGAGAAAGTGAGACTTAGGAGCAGAAGACAAAAAATTTAACAGGAGTGACTGCAGTTTAGTTGCTATCTTTGACATTGTTCTTATCCTTTGCAGAGTTGATGGAGAGTCTGCGCCAGGCCGAGCGGAAGAACTGGACACTGGATCAACACCATATTGCCAATCTTTGTGACTCTCTTAATCACTTCCTTACCCAGACTGGTCAGCTCCCTCATCTGATCGGCCCTCAGCAGCCCCCTCGAATCTCTGATTCTTGTGCCCTGAACAGTGGCAAACAGGAGCAATCCATGAATCAAGGTAATTCAGAGGGAAACTAAAATGCCACATTAATGAAGGACCAATTCTCTACATACCCTAAACTTCTTGTTACATTGTAGTTAGTGTAGCACCAAGCAGCTCTATCAGAAACTGTATTCAGTTCCTTGGTTTGTTCAGCCTAGAGAAGACCAGGCTGAGGCGAGATGTCGTCATGGCCATGCTTCCTCATGAGATGGAGTGGAGGGACTGGTGCTGATCTCTTCTCTCTGTTGACCAGCGATAGGACCTAAGGAACCAGCCTGAAGCTGTGACAGGGCAGAGTCAGTTTTGTTGTCAAGAAAAACCTCTTAACTAAGAAGGTGATCATATACTGGAACAGGATCCCCAGGGAAGTGGTCATGGCCCTGAGCTTGCTGGAGTTCAAGCAGATGGTGCTTCCAAGTCATATGGTCTGATTTTTGGGTGGTTCTGTGTGGAGCCAGGAGTTAGTCTCAGTGATCCTTGTGGTCCCTTCCAACTCAGGATATTCAATGATCCCATGAAATCAGTCTCCTCTATCTGTAAAAAATTATTAGGATGTTCTGTGTCTGTGGCCTATGTGTGCCATTATGTGACGCATACTAGCAAAAAGAATCTTCTTCAGGAAGAATTGCATTTAAATGGTCAACCTGAAAAAGGAAAAGGGAAGGAACGGGTTTTGGTACAAAATTAACAGTAAGGAATGGCAAGGTAGAAAGCTCGCTGTTCTAGGTGGCAGTAGCGGTAAAGGAGAAAGGTTTTGTGCCTATAGAGAAAGACTGACTGGACAAGGAATAGAAGAACATGCTCCAAGGAGAGTGAAGAGATGATCTTGGTGCAACTGTGATGATGTGTGTCATCACTGTTTTTACTAAATGACTTTGTAGTAAACAGTGAAAAATAACCATTTTGTAGCATTTCTAGATGAAAAGTTTATTTTAAAATAATAAGTGAAACTCCTGCCAGGTGCCAAGAATAAGACCAAGCTGTAGCTTTTGGTTGGGACCAAATAACTGAACATCTCAGTATACTGCATTTTTGAGTGAGTTGCTCTGTGGCTGGAGATGCAACCCAATCAGGGCTAGGACAGCTGACCAGACCATTTACAGTTTGTTTCATTTCATTTCACAGTGAACTCCTATGGTCAGCCCCAGCCTCCCCATCTCTTTTCCGGTCCATCTCCGATGTATCAGATTTCTACCCAGGACTCTTCAGGATATAATCGCCCAGGTAAGAAGTGATAGTAAGGCATATTATATCTCTGAATATTTAAGAACTGGTTCTCAAGCCCTCTGCATTTCTCCCAAAACACTCACTAATCCAATGAAGTGCTCAGGGGGAGAGAAAGTGCTTGGACTGCTAAGGACTCTTCTTTAGAATTAGACTCTTCTTTAGGGCTGTGCCATAGCTCTAATAGATTTTAGAATTTCAGTGACGTGATGTCTTTCACTTCACATAAATGGTCTTCTAGCCCTGTGTCACCATCCCTGTGTTGGACAAAGGCAAAATTACATTAGAAGCTTCTGTTGCTGAAGTTCCTTTGTATTTTACCAGCAATCATCTGAGAAAAGTTAAGGAAGCTGAGGCTTCAACCTTGGTAGAAGCTGCTCTGGAGAATTTTATAGCACACTACCAACAGACAGGGAGAAATTCATGCCAGTAGTGTTATTGCATATACTGTTGAAACAGAGAAGTCCACAGTGCCCTTAATGCTTTCTTTTGACCAAATGCCCACTGTGAAAAAGTATGACATTTTTTTCTTCTAACTGTTCTTTTTTTTTTTTTTTTTTTAACTGTTTTTTTACTCAGCTCATCATCTGGTCCCTCGGCCTTCAGGGCCTCCTCCAGGCACCAATGAGGAAATCCCTGATGATTTCGACTGGGACTTGATCACCTAGCGAGTTACAGACTTAAGAGCCCGTCCTTTGTGAAGGACGTGGGAGGGGAGGGGGACATGGGGTGAATGGTGCCACACCACCGTCTCCAGCCTTCCTATCTTGCCTGTATATAGATATATATTCTCTATCTCCGCCAGAGAAGCCACCGCGAGATGCTGCCGAAGATAATCTTTCATTGCGTCCTGTTTTATCTTTTTTCTTTTGTTTATTATTATTGTTGTTGTTGTTGTTATTATTATTATCAATAATTGAGCACAGCCCTTCCCCTCCTCTGGTGGCCTCGGATGCATCAGATCAAACCTTGTTGTGTGGTGCCCTGATATAGGGCAGAAAGATAGGTCCTTGCTGCCACAAAAAGACTTCAGAAGGCTGAATCCTTGTGTGCATCTTTCTCTGCCTCTGTCATTTTGCATTTAGCAATCCCTCTTTCCCTTCAAAGCGGACAGTAAATCTGTTGTATTGGATACTGAGTGAGAGTCTAATAGACCCCGGGAGTCTGTAGTTATGTTATTTCTTAAATGTTGTAAAGGTCAGGAGGCTAAAGGGACACTGTGGAGAGGTGATTTCAGCTCAGTTCCACACCAGCAGGAAAAGCAGGAAAAGAAATAGAGATCTCAAGTGCAAATAGGATAATCTCTTAAGTTAGGAGAGCTAAGCTGAACTGGGAGGGAAAACCTGAGTTTGGAGAGAGGGGAATGTAGAAAAATGATGTTTCAGCAGAGAGATTGGGTTTCAGAATGCAGTGCCTCTTGGTGAGGACGAAGAGTGATTTTGAAAGGATCCTGACTGCTCTGCGTTTTGCAGTCTCCAAGGGAGTGAAGCCTACATACTCATCAGGTAAAAGAAGCAGTTGAGGGTGTTGTGATCCAGGAAATTTCTGTTTCCCAGAGCTTTTAATTTCACCCCTGCCCCTTCAAGCCTTTCTTCAAAGTATGCAGTGAGGCTTTTACTTGCATATGCAAACTTAAAAGTTTTCTCACACCGTCCGTATTTGCTCAATTGTTACTTAGCCCTCTGACCCTTGTACCTTTTTGGAGACTGTCTGTGGCAACGGGAACCTTGCTGCTTTGGTGTAAATTCTCAGTCAGTGGTCCCCACTTTGTGATTGGGTTAATGGTGGAAAGAGGAAGCTGCTGCTCAGAATGGAGGTCAATCAGGAGACTTCTGGTCAAGAAGTTCAAACCCTCTGGTTGAGTAAGAAAGAGCCTCTTAGAAGTGATTTTTGTAAGCTGCATTAGAAGAGGGGATGAAGTAGAGCTGAACAGCCAAAGAGTATTGTATAGAAGAAGGGGGATGAGTAGGTCAGACTCCTTGCAGTTCAGCTGAGGAAGATGATGGCATAGAATGTAAATCCCAGTTAATGGTTTCTGTCAGCAAATGAGGAAAGCAAAACAGATGCAGGAGTTAGTATTGAAATTCCTCCTCCCCTAAACTGTGTCCTGAGTTACCTTTTTTTTTTTCCTGATATGGCTCTGTTCTGTCAGACTTCTTGTTTCATTTTATATTATATAGTATTTTGTAAAGCCTACCCCAACCCTTATTCCCTGTTTATCAGGGAAAGGAACAAGACAGAAATAAAATGTCATGGTGGCTTTGACGTATCTGGGGAAGAGGAGGTAAAAATGTCTGCTCTGACTGAAGGAAGATGGGGAATTAAAATTGCTACTTAAATTTGTTGTAGGGATAAATCAATTGGATCTCTGTCAAGGAAGTGGACAGTCTCATTGTATTGGGGAGGGGGGGCGGTGGGATGTTCTTTTTTTTTTTTTTTTTTTTTAATGTGTGTATTGAGAGGGAGTTCATCAGTGGGCATCTCCAAGAGAAATGGGGAATCCCGTAGCCAACTTCAGCATGGAATTAGCCATTACCTGTGCTGCCTCAGGATGGTAATGATACAACTTGGAAGCGTGTCTGATTGGGTTTCTGTGGAATGTGGCACCAGGTACAGCCTATGGTTGGTGCCAGTTAGTGCTTTGCAGAGCATATCACAGAGCCAGCCCTGCGGAAATCTGAAACCACTGGAAGAAAAAAAGAAAGATAGCTCCTTCAGCATATGAAAGTCCCCACAATTTGCATATTTATCTCATCTGCATATTGATTTGCTCCTTGTTTGCATATGTAAATACACGCCGGTCAGTGTGCAAATTAACCTCGTTCCTCTGCCTCTGAAATACATGTGCATTGTCAATGCGTGGGAAGGCATCGGGTTGGCTGTGTGGAGCTCCACACTGGTACTAGCTGCAGGGAGTGAAGGGATGCAAACGTGCCATGGAAGTTCTTGCAGGCCCTTCCACAGTGGCATTGCCCACAGTGCTTTGTGTCAAGGGTCAAGGAGAGAGGGGCGTGGTCTCACAAGTTTATTTTTGTGCATGCTTTCTTAATAAAAAGAAAAAGTGAATGTTTAATGGTTTAACTCCTTTGGTGCCAGTATTGCATTTCTTTTGGCTGCGTCTAACAGGTGGGCTTAATTCCTACTTACCAGTTACCTTGAAAAGAAAATTTGGGTGTGGACATTACTAATTAACAGCCTCCACCTATGTGTACATTGCAAGTGAGACTTTTTAGGTTGTCAGCAGAGATTCAGAAGTCCTTATGGCTGTGTTTTGTCAACACTGAGATCAGTGCACCTTTCAACTTGCATTTTGGCCAGAAAGGCTGTGAGAACTACACCACAACTTACTAGCTGTTTTTCATAGCATTTATTGACCTTGCTCCTTAAAACACTTTGTTAGAGTACTTAATAAATATACTTCTGTTTTTTAGGAGTAGAGAATATTCAACCTTTGGAAACATCCCTAATAAGTCTCACTGAAAGATTTTTTTTTTTCCTGCTATAAAGCACATCTTCTTTCTGGAGACCAGGAAATGACTGAGCTGAAATAGACCAGTTGTACACCTGCCATGGGGTCATACTACAGTTTATCACTTCCCAGTTCCAAGGCTTTACAAACTGGATAATTGTCCAGCAACCATCCAATTTTGTTCCATCAGTGATGGCAACTGCTCAAATTCTGGTATCAGAAATAGTGCTTCCAGCAGGAACAGGGAAGTGATCATCCCCCCTGTACTCTGCTCTGGTGAAGCTGCACCTCAGGTACTATGTTCAGTTTTGGGCCTGTCACTACAAGAAAGACATCGAGGCCCTAAAGCATGTCCAGAGAAGGGCAGCAAAGCTGGCAAAAGGTCTGGAGCACAGGTGTTATGAGGAGTGGCTGAGAGAACTGGGATTGTTTAGTCTGGAGAAGGCTCAGAGAGACCTTTTAGCTCTCCACAGCTACCTGAAAGGAGGTTGCAGCGAGGTGGGTGACAGCCTCTTCTCCATCATAACTAGTGACAGGACTAGAGAAAATGGCCTCAGGTTGCACCATGGGAGGTTCAGGTTAGAGATTAGGAAAAATTTATTCTTCAGAACAGTGGTCAGGCAGTCTGTTCAGGGACGTGGTGGACTCACCATCCCGGGAGGTGTTCAAGAAATGTTTAGAAGTTGTACTAGATAGATGGACGGTTGGACTGGATGATCTTAGAGGTCTTTTCCAGCCCTGGCAATTCTATGATTCAATGATAAGTTTTATCACAAAGAGAATGCAACAGACACTGTAATTACCGTTTTTTGGTAACAGTTGCTCACAAGCTTTTTAGGCAAGTGTGACCCATAAGGAAAGCTATGAAATAAGTCCCTGGAAAGCAGCTAGGAACTTCAAATTCTAACATGTTTGTTCGATTTATTGTGATTTTACATGCAGAAGCAACTTTTTAAGGAGGAATTGGAAAAAAGTGCTGCAAGAGCTGAACCTTACTGTCTCCCCGTGTACCTACTGAAGATGGTGTGAGACTAGGGAATCAGAATGCTGTGAACATATTAATGCAAAAAGAATGAATAAATAAGAAAATACTGTCCACACTGTTTTCAAGAGTGTTAAAAGGGCTGCTGTGTAGTTACATAGATGAAAGAAGGAACTGGAAGGGGCACCAAGGTTTTCAGGAGTGAACAATAAGAAACTGCAAGAAACTGAAGAGGAAAGCAGCATTCAGTTTATTATACCTACCCCAGTGAAGCAGTTATTTCAGTGTGTCAGGGACCAAGAACCATCAGTCTTGTCTCCAGAGTGACTGAAAAAAATTAACTCATAACATTATAGGAACGGATTGGTTCCCCCTCCCTCCCCTAGTGTGCACGTATGTGCAAAGTAACCTTCCCACCCTGAGGGGTAGGCTTACAAAAACTCATCGTTGAAGCTTTAGAGGCAACTGCTGTTAAAATAAGAAAACAAGAAAATCAGAATAAAATGGTAACAAAACACTGTCCTGAGCCAAGGAATATCAGGAAGGTAAGGAATGATAAGCATAGATACATACTTTAAAGTTTCCTTAAGAAAAAACAAGATCACAGTGCCAAATCAGATATCTTGCCTATTGGCATAACACTGAATTTAGTTCATAAATACAAATTCTAACGTGATACCGTTTGGTGTCAATGTCCAATCTTTTTGTTTTGTAGCTCCTTCATCTGTTATGAGATCCGCACATTCATCTTGCCAATCCAATTTCTTACCATTCTGGCTTTTTATCACTCCACATCAGCTGCTTTTCCAGCCTGAAAAGATTTAGTTGATGAAATACACGATAATACTCTGTGGAAAATCTGTTCCAATGTTCAACCGCCCTCAGAGTAGAAAAGTGTTCTCTTGTGTCTCTTGGACACAATTTCCCATGCTTCAGTCTGCCCCAACTGCCTGTCACCAGACACCACTGAGCCTGATTCCATCTCCTTTACACACACCAATCATACTGCCATTTCTGCAGGAAAGGTATTCTAGTCACGTAATCATCTAAGTGGCTCTTCACAAGCCTCGCTCTGCTATGTCCCATATCTCTCTAGTACTGAAATGCTCAGAACAGCATCCAGCACTTCAGATGTGACCTCAGCAGTAGTGAGGAAGGGGAGGAGCCTTTCCCTACACCAACTGGCAGCACTTCTAATGCAGCTTTGAGTGCTGTTAGCCTTAATTACTGTGATGCGGTAGTACTGGCTCATGTCCACCAGGACCACAAGATCACCGTTCTCTCCAAAGCTGCTTACTAGTCAGTTGGCTCTAAGAATGTATAAATGTCTGGGGTTATTCCTTCTCAGATGTTCGACTTTGTGCTTCCCCACCTTGAACTTCATTATGTTCCTGTCCGACCAATCAGCCTGTTGATGTTTCCCTGAGTTCCAGAAAAACCATCTGGTATGTCAGCCAGTTTTGTATCATCTGCAAACTTGTTAAGGGTGCACTCTGCTTCATCATCCAAGTTCTCAAAGAGTTAAACAGCACCAGAAAGTAGTAGTATTCAGTAGTATTCTGCTGCTGAATACTACTACTCACTTGCACCTAATTGGATTTAGCTCTTCTGATCAACACTCTCTGAGTCCAGTGCTTCAATCCACCTCACTGCCCATTTATTTAGCCCATTTTCTGCCAATGTGTCTATGAGGATGATTGTGTTGAAATTAACATTGATGGTAAACCTCAACTGGTGATCATAATCAATTGACTAAAACCTTACTGCAATTTACAATTGACATTATTTATTTCAGATTTGCCATTATGAAACTGCAGCAGTCTGCCAGTTACTAGTTACACCATCACAGAATCATAGAAGGGTTTGAGTTGGAAAAGATCTTATATACTGCCTTTAAGCAGTTCTGCTCTGTTCTCCAAGGTTTGCCTCTCATTAACCTCTCTGCCTTAAATCTAGCAATCAGGCAAGCAATATAAAACTGGCATTCTGTAAGCAGGGAGGCAGAGCTTTACTTTACGTTGTGGCATACATCTCCATTAAGAATCGGCTCCAAATATTCCTGCTCATTCTTGTGCGAGCTGCACAAGTGTTCAACACTCTCTTAGGCAGGTATCTGCCTGCCCCAGTGCGCAGCCTTGTAGGGCAGACTTTCTTCATCCACTCAGCAGGGCATGGACCTCTGCTTCTTGGGCATCAAGATTCAACATAAAGTAATGTGTGTCAGCCCCTCTCTCCCACTTCAGAGAGGCAGAACTAGCTGGCAGAGATGAAAACAGAATTTTCACGTTTGCGTATTCCACTGTCAGTTTGGTACTTAGCTCACACCAGTCATGCATTGTCATTGCTTCTATGTATTTACTCATATAGCTGTTCACAATTTTTATTTTAAAAATGGCAAGTTACTTTTAGATCTGCCAGTTAAACCAGAAGTTTGCTGTTTTGTTCTTATTAATGTCTCAAGGAAATTTCACATATACATAGATTGTTCCAAAAGTAGTGCCTCCTACTTATTTCTGTGGAAACCACAACAGATAAAATAAGCATAGTAACTCTGCTTGATAGAGAAAATTCTCAGCTATGAAACAGTATTTGTCAACATTCTAACCACCATTAGCTATGCATTTTCACCACCAGTGAACAAGAGCCAACAGGCCATGCTCTCCAAAACCTGCACCAGAAGAGATGACCCACTGTCACTGAAATACAGCATCTACCACCTCACTGTGCTCACGTTCACTGTTAGTCTCCATAAATGTTCATCAAGCACTGATGAATGTCAATGGGTGCCTTTTTTTCCACATGAAGGAATTCAATGACACACCTTTGCTTCATATGTACTTGCATGTCAGATGCTATTTTGTTAGATTGCTCCCCTACTGCCATCTGTCATATGGCAACAAAATGTAATGATTAGCAGGAAGGTTCAACCTCTACTGCTGTAACACCAACATCCAGTTCTGACATCATGGGCCAATATAGTAAAACAGGAGGAATAACTTTCAGAGCTACCCCTGTAAAATGTATAATATAGTTGTGGAGGAAATGCTAAGACACAGCTTGAACCAGTAATTAAGCATCTGGTGGGAAGGCAGGGCCAACCCAGGGGAGCTCAGGTGTATTGCACCTGAGTGACCATAAGGAGTGGAGCAGGGGGGGAGGGGAGCGAAGTATCTCTGGTTATTCCTTCATATGTGAGATTTTCTGAAGGTATGTAGTTCCTTTTCCTTTATTTCTGTGTTCACTGTTGTGTATGAGTGAATCTTTACTCACTGTAGCCTGGGATCTTGCTGTTCTGCTGTTATTTCTGTGCTTTCCATTATGTTATACTCCTCTGAAGTTTAGAACTGTATCCTTTGAAGGAAAAAAGGACTGAGGCTAACAAGATTCTTGAATTCTGGTTGGATCTAAAAATAATAGGAAAGTCAAGAAAACTGAAGTCCAACTTTGAGAACCTCAGATATAATTACTCAAATTAAGAAAGCCTGAGATGAGGTTGCCACCACAGGAGTGGCCCCCCTCCCCACGCTCATACTATGTGTGGTAGTGTGTCTGTACATGGCTGTAGAACTCACAGATTTATTACAATGATTTAAACAGAATGCACAAGGGACCGTAGTGGCTTGGCTCTTA